GGGGGCCGTCGGCGGCCCACCCCCAGGTCCGGATCCCGCCCGGGGACTGGCGTGCCTCCACGTTTGCATTGCAACCTCGCCGGCCTGAACGGTGCCTTTTTTTAAAGGGGAGGGGGTCCCAATCCGGACTGTGTCCCCCCTCCTTCTAAACAGCTGGAACGAAGCAAGGACCGGGAAAGCAAGCGGCGGCGTTTGCGACTGGATCGGAACCGCGAGGGCCGAACAAAAGGAGGCAACCGAGGCGGAGAGGGCCGGCCTTTCCCTGCGCCCCCGGGGCGGGCCTGCCGTTTCCTGCCGCCGACCCTTCCTCCTCCCCCCTCCGCCGAGCCTGAACTTTACTGTGGGAAAACTTCGCCGGAAAGTTTGCTTTGGCAAGGCCGCCCCCCCCCCCAGCTCCGCGTCTCTACTCCATTGCAGCCCGCCCCCTTTTCTTGGCAAGGCGGCGGCGGCGGGATGGCTGCGGGCGCCGCGTTGGGGACCCTCTAGAGGGGGCAGGCAGGCGAGGAGAGGGGCCGGGCGGGGGCGCCGCGCCATGGCGGAGGGGGAAGCCGAGGGGAGAAGCCCCCTCCCCCGCAGCGTCTCCTTCCAGCGGCTGGAGCGCTGGCTTGGATGGCCCGACGCCGCGCCGCCCCCCAGCGCCGGGGCGCAGCAGCAGCAACACCAAACGCCAACGCCGGAGCCCGTCGGGCGGCGATCGCCCGGCCGCGCCGCCTCGTTCAGCGTCTCCCGCAACGTCGCCAAGCTCGCCACCTCCTCCTTTCCTCCGGAGCTTCCTCCTCCTCCTCCTCCGCCGTCGGGCAGCCGAGCCCTGCGCAGCCTCTCGCCCTCGGTGCGCCAGCTCTCCAGGCGCTTCTGCCCCCCCCCCCGCCGCCGCGGCGAGGAGGAGGAGGAGGCGGCGGCGGCCCCCGCTTGCGGCGGAGGGGCCGCCCAAGAGCCCCCCGAAGAGCCGTCTCCGTCTCCCTCCCCGCGGGGCTGCAAGGGGCCGAGCGAGCCGCCCAAGGCCGGCGAGGCGCCGTCGGACTGGCCGCGCGTCACCGAGATGCGCAAACTTTTCGGCGAGAGTTTCCGACGGCAGCAGCAGCAGCAAGAGGAGGAGAGCGGAGCGCGCCCGGCGGCCAAGGACTCGGGCCCCGACGGCCAGCCGGAACGCTGCAAAAGCCCGCCGCCCCCGCCGCCGCCCCGCAGCTGCATCCCCTTTCGGACGCACCGGCTGCCCGGCCGTGCCCCCCGAGCCGAGACGGCCAGGCCGCCGCCGCCGCCGCAACTGTGGGATAGTTTACATTCCTGGCATAGCTCTCCCAAGCCCGCACCCCCCAGCGCTGCCTGGACCTCCTCTGCCGCTTCTGCGCCTTCCACCGCCGCCGGCTGCAGCTCGGTGCCAGGGGAGAGCTCGGGCAGGCAGGAAGCCCAGGTGCCCAGCCTGGACCAGCGCCCTCCGGCCGCCTCTGCCGGCGGCAACGGCTGGCACCCCAGCCCGGAGAGGTCTTCGGGGAGTGAGGAAGACGAGGACCGCCTGGCACTGCCCAGGGAACGCTCCTCCATCGAAGAGCCAGGGTTTTCGGAGCAGGGCCCGGGTGGCGATGGGCTGGCGGGCATGGAGTGGCATCGCAAGGCTCAGGAGGACCTCTCCGGGGACCTCGCCCTGCTGGCCGAGCCAAGGACTAGGCCGTTCTTCCAGACCAAGAGGCTGGCAGGCGACAGCACCCCCCTCGTGGCCTCCCCCGGGGAAGCCAGGCCGGCAGGCGGCCTCGAGGGGCATCGGCCCTTTGTCCGGGGGCTTTCAGAAGGTGGCGGCGCCCCTCCCGCCGGCCCCCCCCCACCCCTGTCCTCCGCCTCTCCCCTCCCTCAAGTTTCCAGGGTCGCCAAAGTCAACATCCCCCCTTTTGTGCCCAGCCCGTGTGGATCCAGGAGCAGCAGCAGGTATTCCAGCACCGAGACCCTGAAAGACTTCCGATCGCCCAGCTTCAGCCAAAGTGAGAGCCTCGCCAGGTTGCAGGCCCAGGTCCGGACCCGTCCGAAGGTGCCGTCGGGGATCGTCCGGACGAAAGCTGACCTCCCTGGCTACGATCCCCTTTATCGCTGTGGTGGCGAAACTGCGGAGAAGCCCAGACATTTGAAGTCCATGTCCAACCCTGACATTGCAAGCGAGACCCTGACCCTCCTTACCTTCTTGAAATCCGACCTGTCGGAACTGAAGGCAAGAAAGATGGGCGGCCGGTTGAGCGACCAAGAAGAGGCAACTTTGAGCGGCACCAGCAGGTACGAAAGCGGCCACCCTGCTGCCGCTGGGCACCAGCCGGCGGGCGGAGCCCATAGTGAGGTTCAGCCGCCCACCCGTTGGGCTCTAGGCAACCGGCCGACTCTGAAGGATCTCACGGCGACTCTGCGGCGGGCCAAGTCTTTTACCTACTCGGATAAACCACCACCTCGCAGGCTCTTCTACCAGAGTCCCATGAAGCAAAGCTCCTCAGAGCTCCTGCTGGCCACGGGCAGGGACCACGAAGGTGCGTTTTCCGATGGCGAGATTGGCCGGGACGTGGATGACGGGATGCCTGTGGTCATCCAGGACCAATACATTCAAGAAGCGAGGCAGGTCTTTGAGAAAATAAGTAAGATCGGTTCCCAGAATGACTATAGCTTTGGCTTGGACCAGAAGGATAGCGGGAACTTGAAAGAGGGAGGAGAGGATGAAAAACTTTTGGGAAGGCCAGAAGGTAGCCGCGAACACAGCTTGGACAAAGCCGATTCGGAAGGGGACAACTCGTGCAGGAAATCCTTGGAGGAACTCTCAGGTCGCGAGTCCAGCATGATGGATGAAGGCATCGTAACCGAGCTAGAGACGTGTCCTGCCTATAGGTATCTCGATGCGTCAGTCGCGGCATGGAGGCTAGCGAACCAAAGAGAAAATGAAGCTGGCTTGGCTGAGTTGAAGGGGCTGCATCTCCCAAGTCATGTGTCCAAAGCAAATCAAGAGAAGGCCGCTTTCGTTGACGAGGCCCTTCCCAAGACGGTCCCCCAAGGGCTGTCTGAGGCACCGTCGACTCCTGGTGCCCTGCGGCGCCGGCGGAAGTTTCCATCTGTTGGAAACAGTGGCTCCGAGTCCAGCAATGGAAGCAGCGGGGAATCCAATGGCGAGACCTACAGATCCTTGAGTGACCCCATGCCCCACAGAAGGCGCTCGATCACGGAGGATTCCAATAATTTTTCGGTCGATAGTAACTTCCTGGGGTCACTGAATTCCAAGCCGGGCATCCCGGAGTCCTCCGCCGTCGCCCTGTCCGAGTGCACCGGAAGCGCGGCCAGCGACTTGTCCGTCTGCAGCGACGGCGTCAAGGATTATAGCACGGTGATCCAGAACATTGTCAGCCTGCCCGGGGCCATGGACCGAGTGATCGACGAGAAGGGGAACGGCAAGACCATCAAGAAGAAATCCTTCAGCGACCCCAGCCGCCGCAGCGAGTTAGCCAGCTCGGCCTTCGAGGGCCCCGGAGAAGCCATCAGTGAGATGGACCAGGTCATCCCTCCGTCCAGCAGCGAACCCATCCTCTCGGAACGAGATCAGATGATGGGCAAGGACCAGGACGCGAGGAAGCTGTACTCTCAGTCTGAGCACGTCCTGACGGCCCCACCGGAGGGCGACACGATGGAGGCGGCCCAGAACTATGGCTTCGATCCCAAGTTGGCGGAAGTCCTGTCCCCCAGGATCGTCCGCCGTAGTTCCAAGAAGCGCACCAACAGGGTCAATGGCCACGAGAACAGACAAGACGAGGCCGCCCCGTCCACCGCCTTCCCTGCCACTTTAGGGACCACGAGGCCAGCCTCCAAGCATGTCCGCCACACCAGTGAGCCCGCCACCTTTATCCCTATCTCCGACGTCAACCCGCCTGCTTCTCTGAACCTGAATGCCCACGCCGCCATGCCGGAATCCTCTCGTCTGCCCGCGAAACCGTACCCGGTTCTCCAAGCGCCATCATTGGAGGACGTCACCAAGCACTACATGTTGACCCTTCATTCGGGGGAACCGTCCCCCGCTAACACTGTGGATATGCCTAGATCTTCGCCGGCCACGCCGACCACCTCGGAGCCCAGGTTGCCCAGATGTTCAAAGCATCACGAAGAGCCAAGCGCCAGGAGCAAGCCTCAAGTGGTAAGTCCCCTGTTGCCTATTCTGATATCTTTTATGGAACCATCTTGAGATAATGCACATATAAGCCTGTTGGCTTAGAAAGTTGTGGGAAGGACCTGTTGATCCAGAATGCAGCCCTGTGCAGTTACTCGAGTCTAAGCGCATTGACTTCAATGCGCTTAGACTGGTGTAACTTGCCGTAGGACAGCCGAGTTAATACACCGGAAGAATTAAGTTCTCTCGTTTACGTTCAGATGTGTTTTCCATTGTCCGTTGGAGGCAGCACTCCACCTTATGATGAAGCGCTGCGGTCCGGACTCGCTTCAGAGTCACACCCTTTCGAGTGTCGGCTGGCTGTCGTGCTGTGTTTCGCTTTTGCAAATTGATTGTGTGCATGCCTCCATGTGCCACAGCACTTGGGGCTGCAGTGTGTTTGAGGGATAAGTCTGTTCCTCGTTGTGACTGTTATGTAGAGATAATCCATTCCGTAACGGTTGGCCTAAGAGAGTCAAATGCTAGGCGGAGGAGGGATTCTTTATATGATACACTGATGGCGTGTGGTGGATTGTTGTCTGGATTTTTTCTTCCGGGTCCTTCTTCACAAGCAAACCAACATCCCTGGAATGAGCAGATAAGGCTCGTTAAATGTCAAGTGTTTTGTGGCGCACGAGGAACATTTAGTGCACATGTGAAATGCGGGCAACTTATTTTCCATCTGGGCCGTGGTAGAACGAATTTTGTCGATGTGAATGGAGCTTACGGTGATGTGTAAGTTTGGGGAGACTGAAGGACCAATCACCACATCAGTAGGCTTTTGTCCTGATTTGTGCTCTTCTCATGGGCCTTTCTTACATGTTCAGGGAAATTCTGATCGCTACTTTGGGGTCAGGAAGCCATTTTTCTCCAGGCCAGTTTGGCTGGAGATCCTGAAGGTTTTTTTCATTTTCTGGGCATGGAACAGCGGTCACGGGGGGGAGATATTTGTGAATTTCCTGCAGATTTCCTTGCCTTGTGCAGGGGGTTAGACTACATATTGATGGCACATTGTCCCTGACCAGGCAATTCTATTTGCACTCTTCGGACCTAAACTGGAAGGTATCTATTATTTCCAGTTCATGCAACAACTTCTGACACAAGGCCAGATCTGTTTGTGGCCCCAAAACAGAAACTTTTTGGTGTGTCATTCAATTCCATATCGGGACATTCCAATTTTGGTCCCATTTTATTTATTTAATTTATTGATTGCTAATAGCCTTAAATGTGTTACAGGGAACACCGTTGCTTGTTTCATTTTGCACTATTTGACCTCTGAAGAAGGCCCTTGTGAGCCGAAACGTGTCAGGTCATTACACTGTTCTTTTTTGTGTGTGTTATTTGTAACTTTGTGCATTTTATGCGGCTTTATTCGGGCCCCTACTAGGTTTTTATACGTCTTTGTAATAAACACTCTTTTGTACACTTACTTATGTTTTTAACTTTTGGCCCTCGATTAGTGCTCTTAATTAGTGCTCTCAATTAATTAGTGCTCTCAATTAGTGCTCTTGGAGGTTGGACTAGATGACCCTGGAGATCTCCGTGATTCATAATTGAGGTTGTCCTATCTCCCTAGCTCCTTTCCCGAGACCTAGTTCTCGCTGAGATGTTCGCGCCGTGTCTGAGATGGCTCATTTCAGATGATAGGTGGGTGCTAACCTAATTGAATCTCCTTCCGTGTTTTTTTTAAAACCACCTCCCTGCATGTAGGAAACTAGAAACTGGGGAAGAGGATTCTTAGCTGATTCCCTGACATCCTAGTTTTCTAACTGCAGGGATTTAGTATTGTTAAGAAATAGACCATAATGTACGGAGTGTAAGCAGGTAGAACGTCTGTGACTACACCAAAACAAGCCTACTTTGTGTTGGGGTGGGGTGGGTGGGGGTCTGGCTTTGAAACCGCATGCAGGGGCACATCCTTATACAGGACCACAGACATAACAAGCTGTAAAAGGGGATTAGATAGATTCATGGAGGAGAGATCTATCAGTGGCTACTAGCCGTGGGTACTGCGGGGAACCTCCACATTCAGAGGCAGTCAACCTCTGAATCTCAGTGTCGAGAGGCAACATTAGGGGAAGGTCTTGGCCTCCATGACCTGTTGTTGACCCTCCAGGGGAGCTGGTTAGCCACTTTGTGAGACAGTATGGTGGACGCAATGGACCTCTGGTCTCATCCCAGCAGGGCTCTTCCTATTTTCTTATCAGGGGAAGGCCTCGGCCTCTCTGCCCTGTTGATGGCCCTCCAGAGGAACCAGCTGGTCACTGTGTGAGACAGGAGGCTGGACCGGATGGACCACTGGTCTGATCCAGAAGGGCTCTTCTGATGTTCTTTATCAGGGGAAGGCCTTGGCCTCTCTGCCCTGTTGTTGGCAGTGTCATGGTGACACTAGGGCAGTGATGGCGAACCTTTTAGAGACCGAGTGCCCAAACTGCGACCCAAAACCTACTTATTTATCGCAAAGTGCCAACACGGCAATTTAACCTGAATACTGAGGTTTTACTTTAGAAAAAACAACTCCTACATTAACTTAAGATGATCCAAACAAAGTAAGGAAAGCAATCCCAAATGCTCTCATTTACTTAAAATTATTTGGCAGAGAATTCGACACTTTAATGATGGTCTGGGCCTGGTTGGGGCGATGGCACGCGTGCCCACAGAGAGGGCTCTGAGTGCCACCTCTGGCACCCGTGCCATAGGTTCGCCACCACTGCACTAGGGAATAGAGGCCGAGCCCTTCTCCTGATAAGAACCTAAGAAGAGCCTGGTGGATCAGACCAGTGGTCCATCCAGTCCAGCATCCTGTCTCACACAGTGGCCAACCAGTTCCTCTGTAGGGCCAGCAACAAGGCAGAGAGGCTGAGGCCTTCCCCTGATAGGAACCTTAGAAGAGCCCTGCTGGGTCAGACCAGTGAGTGTCCCTCTTGTCCAGCCCCTTGTCTTACCCAGTGGCCAACCAGTTCCTCTGGAGGGCCAACAACAGGGCAGAGAGGCCGAGGCCTTCCCCTGAGGGACCACCTTTCCCCATATGTTCCCACAAGGGCACTCTGTCAGGGACTCAACATCGATTGGTAAACCCAGGTCCCAAAGATATTAAATTTGCTGTCACCAGGGCCAGGGTATTTTCGGTGGCGGCTCCTACCTGGTGGAATGAGCTCCCGGAGGAGATCCGGGCCCTGCGAGACTTGGTGCAGTTTGGCAGGGCCTGTAAGATGGAGCTCTTCCGCCAGGCTTTTGAGTAGGAGCCACCACCATCACTATACCATCACCGTACCACCACCACTAAATGGAGTGGGTGTCATCGGGGAACGAGATGGCCCTGGAGATGGATCGTTGCACCACCTGGAGTCTATCGTGTCGCTCTGGGACCACTTTGTTATATGTGACCCCACCTGTTATTTGTGACATCTAGAGCACTTGTATTTTATATATGAATGATCATTTTATTGTTTGTTGTATTCTGTTTTTACCTGTTGAATTTTGGCATATGTGCCCATCTCTTAGCCGCCCTGAGCCCATCTGGGGAGGGCGGGGTATAAATTTAACAATAAATAAATAAATAAATGTCCATACATTACTTACACATGTCAGGTTGTTCCTTTGTTGATATTAGTCATCTAACAAACAAGATATAGGTGTCTGGAGTACCTGAAACCCTAGGTGGTGACAGCTTCTGGGTTTTAAAGGTTTTGGACCTTGGGTTGGGCCAGAAAGAAAATCAGGGACTCAGGTTCTCTAAAGGGGCAGGTGCACACCTCCTATGAATAACCAAGAACAGAGAACTTAGAAGAAGATTCAGAAAGAGTGGATGTCTTGCTGAGCATAAACAGAATGCAGATGAGTGTAAATGCCTTGTTTTAGATATGTTCTGGACCTGACCTTTGTATCATGATGTAAAACTGCCTCTATGCTGCTAAAAATACCAGGGCTCATTTGGGCGTTCTGTACCTCCAAGCAAAACTACACATTACTCTTAATTAAGCAGTACATTAAATTACACCCACTCTACAGTCAGCTTCTGTTAGGTGAATAATGTAACACTAAAGCAAAGATGTTCTGTCTGGATTTTATCCCATTCTATGTTTGTTCCATATTTTTCTTTACCAACATTGAATTTTTGCTGTACTTGAGGTTACCTATTTCTGTAGCCCACAGGCACCAAGGATTGCATCTAGACTAAACTTGCAACTTCTGGTGACTCCCCACTTCCTACTGCAGTCTCCCCTCGTGAGCCAGTTTGGTGTAGTGGTTAAGTGTGCGGACTCTAATCTGGGAGAACCGGGTTTGATTCCCCACTCCTCCACTTGCACCTGCTGATGTGACCTTGGGTCAGTCACAACCTCTAGCACAGCTGTCCTTGAAAAAGAGCAGTTTGTGTCAGAGTTCCCTCAGCCCCACCCACCTCACAGGGTGTCTGTTGTGGGGAGGGGAAGGGAGAGGAGTTTGTAAGCCGCTCCGAGACACCTTTGGGTAGTGAAGGGCTGGGTATAAATCCAATCTCTTCTTCTCTTCTTCTTCTTCTTCCTCTGGAGGGCCAACAACAGGGCAGAGAGGCCAAGGCCTTCCCCTGATAAGAACCTAAGAAGAGCCTGGTGGATCAGACCAGTGGTCCATCCAGTCCAGCATCCTGTCTCACACAGTGGCCAACCACAGGGCCAGCAACAGGGCAGAGAGGCTGAGGCCTTCCCCTGATAATAACCTCAGAAGAGCCCTGCTGGGTCAGACCAGTGAGTGTCCATCTTGTCCAGCCTCCTGCCTCACCCAGTGGCCAACCAGTTCCTCTGGAGGGCCAACAACAGGGCAGAGAGGCCTTCCCCTTATAGGAACCTCAGAAGAGCCCTGCTGGATCAGACCAGCGAGGGTCCATCTAGTCCAGCATCCCATCTCACACAGGGGCCAACCAGTTCCTCTGGAGGGCCAACAACAGGGCAGAGAGGCCTTCCCCTTATAGGAACCTCAGAAGAGCCCTGCTGGATCAGACCAGCGAG